GCTACCCAGAATGCTATAAAAAAAAATCATATTAGGTTTCTGTGTTAGGCGTTTGTTATAAGGTTGAATACTGTAAGTAAACTGTTTATAAATAGTTTACTACCTGTTACATCTATTTGGAAATTTTAAAAGGCAAGAAATATTGTAAGAAACATAGTAAGAAACATTTCCTATTAATTTCCTCACTTTTAGACCACACTATGGATTGGAATTATCATTTTTATTATCCAAGAACTTGTTTATGCTTACATTCATCTTCGTATGTTTGTCCATTTGTGCCATTTTCCTTTCCAATGGATTTCGTTTGCCGTTTATCTCGTGGTTAATACAAAGAATTTCTTGCAAAACTAGGTCATTCAGTGGGCTGCATTTTTGGTTCAACCCTTTTGAATCCTGACACCCTTAGTGAAAAAAAATCGAAGGTAGGGAAAATTATTTTTGCCGCCTCGGGCAGTGGAGCCTGATGGTAGTTTATTGAATAGATTGTTGGTTCAATTCTAAAAATTCCTGAAAATTTACTTCTGCTACCCAGAATGCTATAAAAAATAACATGTGTGTATTTTGCATCGCTCTCTTGCTTCTTTTTTCAATAAACTACCATCAGGTAGTTTTCTTAGTTTCAGGATATCTTCTACAGCGTAATATCCCTAAGGGATATCTCGAATTTAATCTTCCTTAACGTCGCAGTGATAAAAATTACTGCTGCTACTTCGAGTTCTATAAAAAGTAAATGCGGAGTATTAATTCATTAGTTTCAAACAGGAGTAAAAAATGATATATATATATATATATATTGTTTAGGTTCACTTCTTTTTGCGTGTTGAAAAGAGGTAGTAGTAAACCTGATCAATTTTTCAGTTACGAGTTCACATGGAAGAATGTCGATTGTTGCGAATGCACGAGTGTCAACAGTGTGGTAAACGTTTCAAAGCACGTGGTGGTTTGCAACAACATTTACGTATACATTCGAACGATCGCCCATATCAGTGCCGTTTTTGTCCGAAACGTTTCACTCAAAAATCGCATGTCGATCAGCATGAAAGGATCCATACTGGTTAATATTTCTTTACGATTAGATACAGGCCGGATTCTGGAACATTTTCTTTTATGTAAAGTTGCGGTAAATCAAAGTAAAATCAAGAGATGAAAGTTGTAGCATGCTAATGTTCTTGAGTATATGAGTTTCTTTTTCTATTTCAAAAAAGGACAATTTTTGGATTTCAGGTGCCAAACCATTTTCTTGCCAGTTTTGTGGTCGTGCATTTCGGCAGCGTTCCCAACAGCTTGGGCATGAATCAACTCATGCAAGTGGACCCCTTTCGATGAGTGGACATTTACCGCATGCAAGTTCTCATCACATCAAATTTGAAAATGCAAAGTTCGTTTTGTTTCGTCTTTTTTTATACTCAATTTTGTGGAACGAGTCAAGGATTATTTCAAGGGGTATTGCAGTGGTTGTTCAGTATGATGAGGTTGATATCCTACTCCACTAGGTGGCTACAGGGAAGTGAAATAAATATTATGTGATTGCAGTACTGATCAAGGATGCAGTCAAGCAGCAGCTGGGGATGCCAGCAATGTTGATAGAAGTGCAGTTGTGCAACAGCAGGCAGTAACAGCGGTAGCCACTGCAGCAGCGGTTGCGGTAGCAGCACAGCAGCAGGACCGCTTAAACAGTTCGGGGAGCAGTACTTTGAGTTTGATGTCACCAAATGGTACTGGGTTGGCACATAGTGCAGTCAGTTCATTATTAGCATTAAGTCAGCAACAGCAGACGCAAGGAATGGCGATGTCACAAAGTACTCAGCAGAGCATTGCCGATGCTATCGGCGCAAGAAATAATACAGTTTGAACGGAAGCTCAATGTGTCATCTTATTTTTGCATGCATTCTGCAGTACTTTCATGCCGTCTTCAGTACTATGTTATTCCAGGGCACATTGCTGTATTCTCGATTCGATAAGCTTCATTCTTGTTTCTTAGCATCGCTCAACTTGTCTTTTCAAGTGAATAATTGCTTGCTTGTTTAATTTGATTGTAGCAAATTTTGTTTGCTTCAGACGAATTATGATGTTATTACTGACTGCCAAAATCCATCTTTTTAGATCGGTATTCCTTGTGTGTTTTTTCAGCCCTTTAAATTGAGCTTTTTCATACCAGGCTCTTTTGCAAGATGTTTTCCATCCATATTCTTTTTGCTTAATTATTAGGAGCGAAGTTCATAAATTCCATTGGGTTTCACAGTCCGAAACTGACATTTCCAAGGTCTGGAAATTTAGAAGTGCAATCATTTTATCGGTGATATGAACAGTTACTAACATTTACACTGCTTTTTTTTTGCGGGTTTTATATCTTCGGTGGAAGTATACATTGCAGGTATTATCTTTAGTTAGGTTGCAGTAACTCATATCACTGACGACTGTTGGTCGGTTTTCAGGCCATTCAATGAATCTCGCTTAATATTGTAGAAACAAGTTGTTTATCGGTCCTGGTATCTGAAATATTTTCATAAGAGTTTAGAAATTCTGCAACTGTCTGCTTTTTCTACAGTTTATTTTTTGCAAATAGATCATCTGCTTAAACATTAGATATCGAAATTAGTTTTGACGAGTCCGTGAACTTTGCCTCTCTTCTACAAGATGTTGAGCAAAACTGAAACCAACAGTTAAGTTTGAGGAACAGTTGAGTTCGGTGTATTTCGGTGTCATGCGTGTTCTGTGTGTATATGTGCGTTCATCTCCTTGGTATGCCGTCCCTTGGTCACTTCTAAATTTCCCTGTGTCGTCTTTTTTCTCTTCAACGGCCAGTAAATTGTTTGGCTCTTTTCTCCTACTTTTTCCATATTTGCCTTGCTCTTGTAGTTTATCTGGTAGTTTCATTTATTTCTTATTTCCAAAGTCTGTTCCAGTTGCTTTTTCTTGAAATTGTCTTTGGCAATTACCACATATGCGTCGAGTTTTTTTTTTTTTTTTGTAAAAGTGTTGAGAAGTCTCGTTGTTCGCCTTTTCGATTCTCTTAACTCAGGCATTCCAGGTCTGCAATCAGATTGGATCAAACATAGATTTTGAGCAAAATGAGTACAATTGTAATTTACTTAGGTGTTGACCTGCCTGCCTGGCAAATTGTCATATTATAGTGATTAATGCAGTTTGACTGTAGTTTCCGATATTCCGACAGCAAGATATTAAAGCGGGAATTTCTTACAGGTTTGACTTTATGATTAGAACTCGTTCATTCAATATTCGGTGCATTTGTGCTTCAGTTCAATTATATTTCGAAACATCTCACGTTTGCCGTTCAATGACGCACTAATTTTTCCGAAAAATTAGTGGTATTGCGGGTCGGATTACTGTTTTCACTGATATTGTCATAATAATTATCATTGTTATTGTTTATGAATGATTCCTCCCTCGAAAGTTTTTCATTCAATTTTTTATTAAATTTATTAATTTTAGTCGAAGAAGACAATCGTTGATTAAATAATTACCACAAAGCATTCATTTGCTAATTATTGTATTCTCACCGAGCTTCGTTCTTTTTAACTGGATTTGTTATCTGTTCATTTTTGACGGTTTATTTTCTTACATCTTATTACGGTTGCCGTTCGGGTCCTGTAATTTTCTAAATTGTAAAGTTCGAAGTATTTCTGTCTTTTTCTCTATTATTCTTTCTAGCCTTATTGAATATGGGGGATCTAGCCTGAGTCGCGATATATTTTCTAGTTTCATGTCCATCGTTTGTTGGGGTCTGAAGCGAATACGCTTTTTTTTTCCGCGACATATGCTATGATTTCAGTATTCTCGCTGAATCTCGAAGTGATATACTATTCGGATCAGTATTCACAGCTTTTCCATCGCTTCGAGGCATTGAGACTACCGCAGGAATTGCATAAATCAACTCTTTTTGACATAACATGCGCGAGAGGGTATTTCTACGTCAATTCGTGTTTTATTTTTTCTGATGATAGTTTAGGCAGTGATTTTTAGATTACGACACGTTTTCGTTTCTTATGTATGAATGCAAATGGAGTAGTGATTCATCCCTTCTGCCCTTTCACCGAAGTTTATTTCTTAATGAGATGTAGAATTGAAAGTTTTTTTTCTTTTTTTGCAAATTCTGTATAGTTTTATGTGTTGTATCCATCATTTTTTCATTTTGAAATAAAGTTAAATTATGGGCTGAAATACTTGGTTTTTCTTCATGTGATATGCATATTCTCCATCGTGCAGTTTGTAGAATGCAGTTATTTCAGATCTAATTTAAATAGGTGCATCTCGCCAAGTGTTTCGCCACCTCGTTCAATTTATTGCTGTCCTATATACTTCATCCTGCATACCCTCCCGTTCTCTCTTGTTTAGATTTAAAGCAGTTGACGATAGGCTCATGTATTCCAAATATTTTATACTTCTGCTACTTTGGAAAATAAATATATTGGTTGTTTTGTATGTTACTTGCTGAGCAAGCACGATTTATTCCATTAGTGCGTTTTCGATTTTTCAGTTATCTAGTTATTTAGGCCGTTTGAGTGCAGATGTTTTGTTTTGCCTGAATGCGTTGGTACGTGTATCAAATGCTTCTGATAGGCTAAAAGTGTCAATCTGAAATGCGCAAAACTAACGAGCGTTCAATGTTACTATCGATGGGTTTCTTGGGAGGGCGATTAGCGTGACCAGAATGGTGGCTTTTGTTAAGAGTGCCTTTGACCTAACTAGGCCTGCGCTATGATCGTCAGTTCGTTGTAGTATGGATGCACATATCTCTATCATCCCTGTTACGATTTCAATTTATAAATCGCTTGGTGGCCATACATGCAAGTAAGCGATGGCGCGTAGATGATTTCGTTTTGAGAACTGGATTTTCCTCTACATATGATTTACAAGTTGTCCTTTGATCCTTAAGAACTGTTCTGCTGATAGTAATTGTTAAATTACCAACTAGGATATTAGATTAATTATTCAAATCCTGTATGATTGTAAAACGAACCAACTGAAACGGTATCTGATAAAGAATTTGTTAAAGAAACAAAAAAATAAAGAATTTGATAAAGAAACAACCTGTTTGTTGATGGGACCCTCACCAGCTTTGTTAGATCAGTGAGCTCTTTTTGAGCTCATTCAGTTGTCATGATTACTTTCCAAGATTGAAATCAGTATAATTTGGAGCAGGTGAAAATAAGAAGCATTGATGTAGACATGCTGGCGTGGATTTTTTGTTGGTTGGTTTGTTCATATTGAAGTTTGTCATTCATTATATATCCTGTTTTATGTAAAGTATAAATAACACTTATGGAAGGCTGCAGCCGGATGATTCGCAAGTTAACAAATATACTGCTGGGATGGGATCAGAGATATCGCTGATTCATCATTTATTTCATCTTATCTTTTTTATACTCAATAAATTGTTCCACTTTTCAGAAATGTAAGAGATCATCCAAATATGAAATATATGAAATGGAAAGGCGTAGTATCTCGATTTTCGATAATTTCTTGTTGAGCGGTAATGTAGGCAAAAGCGCTCGTAGTTTTGCGAATGCGCTATTGAATGATTCGACCCGAATGCTATAATTAGTGAACCTCTATGAATAATATAGTCGTATTAAAAATTGAAAAAAGAAATGAAACGAAATCGGTTCCGTTTATCATTCCGTTGAAGTTTGAAGATGATTAGAAAGTCTAAATCATCTTCAAACTTCAACAGTGCTCAAGTGCAAATTTATTGAAGAAATCTGTTAATAGCACTGATATTGTTGATCGTGAGGAAAATTCGGAATAAAGGATAAACAACCATTACCGTTCTCGACTAGCATGAAGATTGCGATATTTTGGAGTAGCCCGGCGTCGTTTCCGTCGTTCTGCTTTGCTCAGCTTTTTCAACTCAATTGCCGATAACTGATGCATTACAGGAAGCGTATGAGTTGAAAGAATGAATACAAATCCGAGGACCCAGGAGGTGGCATGTCAATTTTATTACTACTCGGGGATGGATAGGAAGAAGAGATTTTGGATTAATTGAATCATTCACAAACAACACAGCTTTCCATATCATTGTTGCGTAGGCGATTTCTCTGCGCACTAGGTAGAAAATTTCATTAGTTTCATTTGAATATAGGAAGAAAAGTAATTAGCAACCACATGTTGCTTATAAACTAGGCTTACTGGGCCATTTATTGGTAGCAGACTTGAAATGTCCCGAAAATTTTCGGAATATTTGCCAAGTGTAAGAAGGCTTAGATAAGCACTTGCTTTTCAATGAGCTGAATGCGGCCTCCTCTGATTTCCATTAAAGTTCCGTAATATCTCCTACAAATTTTGCAGAGAAAAGGAAAAACCATCATTGTATTTACTTTTACAAAATTAGTTCCATTTTTGTTATCAGCATTGATTTCAATATAGGATGTTGTTAAAAGGTACCACATGCGATAATATCGTTTCCAGTGATATTTTCAGATTCCATACGTTAAGACTACTTGATCGATTCAAAATAAGGATTGAAATAATCTGTGTTGTGGTGATTGATGGGCTTTGATTGCCACTTTTGCATTCCAAAAACACGGTTGTAAGATCTTTCCGCATGTGATTGATTCTGATAGAGTTATGTTATTGGTTCGGTATCTGCTCAGTCATTTTAGGAATCAGTTTATCGCTTCAAAACATTTCAAATGTTACTGGCTTTCAAAAATTTTGCGCTAGTTCAAATGAATCTACTTTCATGTTCTTTAGAGGCTTTTCCCAAATCTCACAATTCATACTTGATTTATCAGAAAATCTCGATCTTTCGCTTCTAGCGCTCCTTTTAATTTGTTCGTCTGGTTTAAATTTTAAAAAACCACACTTGGGATGGGAACCATGGAATTCTGCAAGCTTGGTCGTTTCTGTCTCCAACAGAGTATTTGATAAGAAATAATGAATCGCATTTGTCCAGAACTATTCTAATGGTGTGATTAAGCTCAATTTTCGAGTTTCTAACGGAATCTTGGAAGAGAATTTTTGCTAGTAGTTCATTTTTACCGTGGCTATATTGTCCCTGGAAAGTCAATCCACATGTTCCATATGTAGTGGAATACTGGACATCTAATTATGCTTCCATTCACTTACGTTTCAATCTTTTAGAGTCGATCCTCGAAAAATGATGCATATTATGGGACCGAAAGAAAACAGTCTTTACTCACAAAATCGAGATTTCACAATTCAATCGCTCCTCTAAGTCGTTGTAATAATATCACCATGAGGATGCTTATTTTAAATCTTAGTACAAAATTGGCTTTGCCGACTGGTTGATAGGGGAACAGTAAATATGGAACAATAAGTGGATTTTAGCAATCATGTATTAAAAATACTTGCGTTATTTATAAGCTGAACAACAAATTGAACACAAATATTTGTACAGCATAAAGCATGAATCCAAATAGCCGATAAAAACAGAATTTGAATAGTTGAAAGGAAAAGGCAAATTATAAAGTGACGAGTTTTTTTCGACTGAAAAAATAAGTGGAGCTAGTTGGGGATCACAGATAATGGGAAAAGCAATGAGACAGGGATAACCAAAAAAACATCGCAACTAGCACAATGAGGCCCAGGCGGAAAAAAATAAGTGAAATAATGTGTTCTTGACAGCAACATAGAACTGCTACTTTGCTTCAAGTGACTGAAGAGAAATGCACTTCAAAATTGTATTTCATTCAGCATACTATACTGATTCGGTTTGTAATTGCTGAAAAAAAAAATTCACTAGGTTTGTACAAGGATTGAAATAAAAGGTAGAAAAAGAAGAACTCTAGAATTTTCATCTTTTTCTCATAGTAGCGAAATAAATGTACACATATAGATTACTTCCACCCATCAACCGTTCTTCCAACATAGTGGTTCTCAACCTTTTCTTGACCAAAGACTACTTCAATTTTTTACTTTTAGCAGGTAGCAAAAGATTCAAAAATAATGACGTCAATTTGAAAGTAAAAATTTTAGTCAAAACTTCTAAAATATTAGTTAAATTTAGAGTACCATAAAAAGAAGGAATATACTCACTGCACTATCATCGCCCTTGCAGACCATATTTTAGTGCTCGCGGAGTACCAGCTGGGAACCACTACCAACACTTACAACAACAATCTCTCACCTATCTTCATAATTCCGAAAATTGTGGACATCATCCAGGTCCTCTCTTCTATTTAGATTAGAAGCTTCCTTCTATCGTTTAGAAATACGTTGCAAAGATTAACTTATTTCGAAACGAAATAATGATCAAAACTTACGCGTAATATGCATGGAATACTTCCGTGAGCTCTTTGTCTTCGTAGATCAGATTTGATAAGAGCTTGAAAAGACAAATTACAAATACTTCTCATAAAACAATCTTAACTGACGGGAAGGCAGTAACTATGCTCTGCATTATGCGTAATTCTCTTGTGGTTGTGATGAAATGAAGTTTGAAGGTATGGAAATATAAAAATACTAACCTGTAAGAAAAGCTCCAACAATTAGAAATCCCGTAAGTGTTAAATTACTGGCTAAGACACTACCGTACTGGAGAATAAAACCAACACATAAAGTTAGCGCTATACCAAATACCTGAAAGTGAAATGTATATGAATAACAATTACTTAAAAGAACTACTCTTGAAAGATGTCAAAGAATTCCAATTAAAGTGGGAAGTAAGTGAAAATTTTCTAACCGTACGAGAAGAACGAAGAAACATTCTATAGGAAATGAAAGTTAGAACCTGAGCGGAAGCATTTAGAAGGCCCGATGCAGTTCCCTCAGCTACTGGAAAAGTTAGCTCGGATGCGAATTCGAAACCAATCGGTAAATATCCGGTCATGAAAAATCTGCAAACTGATTGACTTTCTTAATTAGCTTCTTCACAACAGCGATGTAGCGATACATTTCAACTGTCGCTTAATTAAAAATTACAACACCATACAAACTGTAGTGATTGTCAAACGTTCGTTCCACTAACTTGAACGATTTATTGGATTCATCGATTGTGCATCGTGACAGTTGACAAGTTTAGCAAACAATGTTTGTTACGCCACAGGAGAAGCACAGCTCATTAGTAGGAAATATGCGATTATCACTTCAGTTCATTGAGCCGTTTATAACTTTGCTCTTTCATGAAGCATTATATCATGTTTTACACCAGCAAAACATAATAAGTAGGTTCGAAAAACACCGCTGTCATGAGTTTTCTTTTCAGCATGATATCTCGGAGACCGATGCATCCCCTTTTCTTACGTTTCAGATTTAAGTTATAGCTCGACCTCATCCCATTGGATAAAGAAATCAATATACTTGATTGGAGAGTTTTTGAGCTTCATTTCGGACTGGGAGTAATATAAGTTCTACATTTGATTCTATCACTATACACATATTTTGCAGGTGTGTAAAATTGCGCATCCTTTTCAAAAACGAATAAATAAATCTATTCTTCCTAACAACATGTTCGATTTCATTTTTTAAATGCAGGCTAGAGGCTTCATTTCACGATTATAGCATCTTCCGCATATAATATGACACACTCTCACTACCAACACTATTAGAGGAAAAGGATCAAAATGAATCATTCAACAGATAATATCGTAAAATTTCTTTGATAGACTGACGTCAGGCAGTGTCCGATGTGCGGTTGCGGTTACACAAAACATTTTATTGCATCTGATTTCCAGTTCCAATTTCCCTGTTGAGTTTGATTCTATCTTTTATCACTGGCTTATCTATTTACCATTAATTAAACTCTTCATTCCGATTCAAAATTCAATTGCAAATCATACCCGAGAAGTATGGAGCTTGCATAAATATACCACATCTGCGCGATATTTACCAAAAAAGTAAACAGAAGCATGCCCACTGCGCAAAAGACATATACAACAAGAGTGGTCAACCTGAAAAGAAAAGCTATTTATAATAAATTAAAAACTCAAATATTTTATAATTATAGGTCTTTTTATAATAAATTAAAAACTCAAACATTTTATAATTATAGGTCATACCAACTCTTTTTTTTCAAAATGGTTGGTTGAAATTCTGATTTATTATACAGAAAAATTTCCATTCATTCATTCATTTACTTGCTCTTCTGACGAAAATTTAACTACTTAAAGTTAGTTTTCACTCAAAATACAATCTGAACGCCGGTCAATCATGAGTAAGGCAAAAATTTACTTCAACTATAAGTAAGTTTTCATACGAAAAACTAAAGATTAGTTAAGCGGAGCAGAAATACAGCAAGCAAACTAGAAATAATGAACCAACCATCACAATAAAGTGTTCTCTGACAGCTCCTTCCTAACTGTCGTATTTGACAGTGTTGACATCGGCAAGAGAAATGTTGTAATTCGACAGAACTTAACAAACTTACTTATTTTTATACAACATTTCTTTCAATTGGTGGATGGAAGCGAAATACCTACTTAAAGTGATGAAAACGATCTAGAATGAAACCACACAGCACTGAACCAATCATTCCTGCTAGAACCAGTAGTAGACCAATCATTCCTGTAATCTTATCATTATCATAAGTAGCACAACATTTCGATCAATTAAAAAACTCTTTCGAACTTTTTATTCAATAATTATAGTATTTCCGTATAATTTCATGATTTTAATCACGATTATTCTAGTCATTAAATTTGTGCATAATGCACCTGCGCTTTCTTGTTCATTGGGATGAAATATCAGTATCATTTGACTTAGCACTGTTGATACGGCATAAAATACACCAACATTGACTCCTTAAATGAAATTCTACAAAAATACTTCCTGTTAAAAATGCTCTGTAACAACATAAACAGAGGTCATACAGTGAATTTTTTAAATCTAACATTTTTCAGTGAGTAGTAATGGACAATTTTCAGTGCATCTTTCATTTAACTAAACATGCTCTGCAAACAGTGAACTTGTAAACCAAAAGAGTGACATGCATACCGTAAGTGATGAAAAGAAGTATAAAATTTGGATTTGTCATTAGTTGTTTCAATGAATGGTAATAATTTTTCTCGCTGGTATCCAACAACATTCGTAGCTGCGCCAAACTTGGTGGTACAGGTGGTTTCCCTGGAAATGCTAAAAAACAAAAAATAGTTCATTTTGGTAATTTTGACACATAAATATCCTGTAAAATGGAATAATGAGAAATGGAAATCAAAACGGAAATCAAATCGAAAAATAGGATAGAATTTACAAGTAACTAAATTTGAAGTGATCGTGCAAAGGTAATATACGAGACAATAGATATTAACAGATCTAAGATTTATAGCAGCTATAATTAATGACATTAACTTGTCTTGATATCATAAAATGGTGGCATACTAATAATATAAAACACGACCATGAATATCTCTAAGCTAATTTCTATTTTTTAATCAAAACAGAAACTCACAAAATATGATTAGCAAGAAAATGATAGTATTGGCGACGACTGAAATGAGGAACAATCGATTCAAATCAGAGGCAATGAAATCTGCAGCACCCATATGAACCAGGACAGGGGGAAGCACAAAGCCAATTGCAATGCCTAACTGAAAGAAATTTGAAAGTTTTCAAACTTTCTGAAAAAGTTATAACGATCCATTTTCACATGCTTCAAAAAATGGTGTTTGCAAACTTTTGAAACAACCACCACTGAGACTTGTTCAACCTTTTAACTGCTTAACTTCAACCTCAACTATTTAACTAAGTTTGCCCTAAATTTGGTGTCTTGCCTACCTCCTTGGAGTATTTTTATTTTAAATTCAATTTGTTCATTACAAGAATTGACATACTTGATTGCCGAAAACACCAATTGCACACGCAGTGGAAACTTGTTCTGGGCCGAACCACACAGCAGCTAGCCTTGGCGGTATGCCCAAGATAAACATTTGCGAAAAGCCCACGATCGTTTGTCCCAAGAATGTGATCCAGAATGCGTCTTAACTACAACAAATTATTCTTTTTGTCGGTAATTTTGAATTCCTAAAATATTTTGTCTGGCAAAAATTTCCGATGGATACATTTCTGAGAGTTTACTTATGTACTTCACTTATATTATTTATGTTTGTAATCATATAGTAGCTAGTCATATCATTTCATATTCAATTATTATTATGATCTTATTTTAAGATAGCGAATTTTTAGATTTAAATAAAACCAACCAGGCTTCGCTGAAAACATCTTAATGCATGCTCCAATGCAGTTACCTCCGGAACCGAGTATTACAGACATTCGCAAGCCGTATTTGTCAAGAATCCAACTGAAAATTATGACTTGAAAGCAAAATTTCGCTTATTTAGTCCTCATCTGAAGTCCTTATCTTAATCATATGAATGAGTAATTTACTTTTTTCCTTAAAACTTGGATATAAGGGGAAAAAAAGGAACCATTCAGAAAACAATTCCAGTTATTATTGATAAAGGCATCACTTTTGGAGCATTCCTAGTTTTACGAATTTCACTCAACGAGTATCAGAATAGCCTTTCCCCTTCACAACCTTACAAATTGATTTCTCGAAAAGTTGGCCAAACCTTGCGGGAAGCACAAAAATGATATAAGTAAGCATGTAAATCATTGAAGTCCAGTTGACAGTAACATAAGACACTGAATAGAATTCGACCACAATATGGGCAATAACGGAATATTCAATCCATTGCATTGAATTGGAAGCTGACAACAAAGCGAACACTAATAATATATAATAGCGCCTTTTATAAAGTTGGACCTCTACAGACTTCGAAGCATTCTGCGGTCCAGTTTCCCGCATTGTGGATGCTTTTGGTTCAGTTACTGTTTCCATCTCTCCCTCTTTCCTAAAATTCTAAAAACCGGGAGTGCCTATAAGTGACATTGAATCATGAAATTATTTAGCAATAAATTAAGATGCCAGAAATTGGAATATTACCGGAGTGAAAGAAGACAAATAACAGTCTAAAAATTTGTGAAAACAAACAGAACCAAGAGTGCCAACATGTTCCAGAGCGTTATATCAGTACTTTTTATGAGCTTATTACAACCGTCTTCAACCATATTTGACTAGCTATCATTTTGCTGTTCCTTGCAAACATTTCAACTTTCTAGTTGTGCCATTTATCATTTCGATACAAAAAAAACTTGAGACAGACACAATGAAATGAGAAATTAGACTATTTATCATTTCAAATGATATCAGTTGGCGTTTAATGACGTTAGTTTCCACTTTGCACAAACTTGATTTCTTACCCGATTCTCCAGTTTCTTTCATGCATGACTTCCCGCTCTGTTTAAGGGCAAGTCATCCAAAAACTAGTGCTGGTTCCAAAAAACTTGCAAAAATGATTTAAAATTAGGAGTGGGAAAAACAAGGCTGTAAATGTCGAAATCCTATCAGACATAACAGAAACTTCATTTGACATAACCAAAGACGATGAATTGTTGTAAGAGGAACAGATTATCTAGAGGACGACACGGAGACACGGATTTTGGAGAGAAAAGCAAAGTGGAATTTATTAATGGTCACATGAAAAGAATTTTAATTACTTCCTTCAATAAAGTTTCCTACTTTTCGCTTCTCTCACCCTCGCCAAATCAAAATATGCGCTACCTAACTCAAACACTTCCCATCTTCTTCATTAATTTAAAATTGTACACCTTGATACAATCCATCAGAACCATGGAAAGATCGAACTGAACTCATCACGAGAATAAAACTTCTATATTAAATTTCATATCCTCTATAGAGTCGATCACAGGAATGGGATGACATCATATTTTATGGGTGAATGCTTCCATTCATAAAGCTTTCAACAGCTGCTATACGGAATTGTCGGACTCGAAGCACTCATTGCATGGGAGAGTTCTTATAGCAGATTCAATCAATTCTACTATCCGAAAATGTTTTGACAAGACCCTAAGTTCCACATGTACACCTGAAAAGTGATAGAAGCTAACAAATGTAATCCTTAGTGTTAGTAAAGCTAACTGGATTTTTGTTGCCTAACAATCACAAACATGCACTTGAAAATCGATTTCCTAAGTAATCTTTGAGGAAGTCTATTTTGTCAGGGAGCTCAAAGTCCTAAAGTTACATATTTGGCCTACTACCAACAGAGTGTTTCATTTGATATTCTTCTATAAACATAAGAAAAGATTCGAACTGAAAAAGGGAAAAGTTGGAAGAGCTTGAAATTGAATTCATGAGCAATCTTATTCACAGCTAAAACTCTAAAGCAATATCAGGGTTTTACTTTTTTCGTTGGAATGCCATCCAACGTGAACAAATGGTAGGAACTGAATGACTTTCAATCTGAAGAAAATAAATCTAGAATTTTCAAAATACGAAAAGCATTTACCACTCTCAAAAAATTGAAGCAAAATTCAGTTTCAGTGAACTTTCTTTCGTCTATTTTCTCTTCTGTAATTTTATTCATAAAATCAAGGTAAAATTGTGCTTCATCGCTCAACATTCCTTCTTTTCTAAATTGAATAAGTTTTGCAAAAGAAGAGTGCATGCAGCTACTAGTGATAATGTTGAAAAATGAAGTAATCGGAAATAGAATCCCAAATTTAACCAGTGACTACGGTACGATGTACACAAGGATACCAAAATGGTGGATTTTGTTGGAAGACATCCCACAATGGATAGTATTAAAGTTCAGACAAGAAGTTATGGGACAAAAAAAATTACAGCCATGTGAGTGACTATCGGTAGTATGCCTGCAGCTTTACCTGTCGTATAATCGTGCTGTGAAAAGAACGTACGTATTGATAGATGAATGGACAAGATGGAATAGGGATTGCGATAGCTTGAAGGAAGTGAAAGGCAATGGGTAGTGTGTACATTTGTCGTATACTCCAAAAGTCTGGCGGTGTCTTGTTGGAGACACACTCTTGCCTGACCCTTCTTCCTCCACCTCATTTGTAACTCTCCTCATCTTTGCTTCATCTCTCCCTCTTTCTCTTTTTCTCCTAGAACGTCAGAAATTTTTAAAAAACTGGCAAGAAAGCAAAGAAAACCCCAAGCATTCAATGAATTTCCATGGAGTGTTGTAAGAGAAGATATGAGATTTATTGAATTCAACTAGCTTATCAAGGTTTTCAATATGAAAGCAGGAAATTGATCAAAAAGGAACAATTGTTTAAATTTGTATGAGATCAGGAAGTAATCTATTCTTATCATCCATCTCTTTTCTCCATTATATTTTTGAAATCTTAAACATAACATCGAATTAACCAATATTAATGGACAAAAAATTTTAAATCCTATTTATGGGAGAGATGCCAACAGAAGAGACGTTAGCAGCAATGTCTGATCATCGAAGAGTACAGATAGCTATGTTCATTTTATTACCGTTAAGCAGGACACACGGTCATCAATAAGCAGGTGATGATGATGATTACGACACAAAGTTTAATGAGTTTGCATATCTGCATGTACATTTATATTGGAGGGATCATGTACACATATTTAATCACTATGCTGTGAGAAAACTTTGTGGAAATAAAACTAACTAGCAGGGAAACTGCACACGAAGTCTTAAATAAATTCTTAAATTAAGAAATGAATTCATCAAATTATAAGCAGTAAACAAACGCTTAGTCGGTGCATTACTAAACGACGCATATTGCATGATCTTTGTTATAAAGGAATAATTCAAAATTCTGCTATCACATGGTTTATGGGCGTTGCTGTTTTCTTGTAAGAATGATGAATGCTTGCAATGATTGAATAAAAAGCAAAAAATGATTTTAACAGAAATGATCATCTGTTGTCTTTTTAAAAACTGCAAAATGAAAAGTGCGTGCATTTTTCATAATTTTCTTATTCAAATCAAACATTTATTGTATACGATTCCTGGTACTGCACTTGCCACACTTTTCTATGCAGTTTTATTTGCATTTTAATTTTCATAGAACAATTTATAATGGATATCTGAGCTGAATCACATGTCGTCTGGGCAGATTTCATACATTCCTTTCAGTTTCAAAAAATTATTTATTAAAAAGAGTACCACCAGCAAACAACCATTTTTATTAAAATTACTTTTCGTTTTTCATTGAAAAGCGGACCGATTCGCTGGCTCATTTTTATAAACGATTTTTTTTTTTCAAAATACAGCACTTCGGAAGTGAAACGATCCACTGGCTTATTTTTAGGGATTGTACCCCCAGCATTGGTGTATGCATTGGTTGTTTGGGGTATGCTTCTTATCAATCGAGCTTGAGAAGTTCTGTTTACTTTTCAAGATTTCAATGAGAAAGAAGAATTGTTTTTTAACGCAATACTTATAGGTTTACAATTTGTTATATCAAAAGTGCATAACCAGTCAAGCCTATAATAGTATGGATGAAGAGGATGGTACAGTCAGTTGACAGTTGCAGAATCTTTGAAATGTTGTTTGATTCTTTAGCCAATTCAAGATATCGTAGTCAAATAAGTTCCCATTATTTTTAATACGTAAACATACTTATGTATAATAAGAGCAGAATTCAAGCCCAATTAGATAATTGGAAACATACATTTAAAGTGATCATAGGATCTTTGCTTTTGAAAATTATTGATGATGACGGGTAAATCAGTGGGTTTCAAACATTTGTTGGAAGCTTTTTGCATCATGAAATTGTTTCATTTCACTTCGGGGAGGAAAATTAATGTAAAACAGTCAGTTAATTAGTATTCGCTGAACAGTTATCAGTAATGCAACAAAATGATAAACAATACTTCAGAATAAGCAATCAAACAATGCCGAGTGTGAGAAATTAGAAAACAAACACTTTTAATTTGTCCAACATTCTAAACTTCTCGAAAAAAAAATTACACCGATAGTTTCGCATTCTTCAGGACTAATCAAACTAATGTAATTCAATTAAATGTGTGAAGTTAAAGCACTTTTCAAGTACTGCATTTAATTACGTTTGAAGGATATAGACTCATTTCGCATCATAAAACTAAAATTAGCTTTTGCATCCTTTCTATTCCAAGTTACTAGAGGAATCTCATTTTGAAGAGCTTTTCACAGGACTTTCTGATATTCCGGTTTGTAGCAGAAATGCCTGTAAAATAGAAAATCGAAACAATATCGAAGAAGGCAACTAAAGATTAATGTTTAAAATCCAAAGATTAGAACGAATGAAAAGTTTTAAAATTTGAACATTGCTGTACTGTATCATAATGATTTCGTTCAGTCGTGTAGCCAACCAGATTCAGATAAATTATGAGAATTTTAACGATTTCTATAATTCATAAAATCACCTTATCATTTATTTCCCTGTTATTTTTTTGGCTCATTTCTGGTTTCTGTGGTGTGCTAAGCTTCATGATTACAAAATCCAGATGAAGATATAATTCCTAAGTTTAATTTTATAATTCCTAAGAAGATATAATTCCTAAGAAATGAAAGCCTTTATATAAATAACATGAATATCTATGATTAATCTCGATAATAATACCGACACTGCAGCCGAGGAAATGACCAGTGGGTACTCAACTAAATCCTACATGAAATGTCAGTGATATGTGCTTTATAAGCTAAGATCACGTGTCTAATAATTTAAATTTTAAAAAGTGTTCCTTTGTTTCTCTTTATGGTAAGTGGAAAAAATTCTCGTGACAATTTCTTCTTTTCTACAACTTCAAACTAAGGATATCTGATGAAGAGAAAGTTGATCGATTTATCGCGGTGGCGGGGATGATTGGAAAGAATGGGTTCTATGCGTAATAAAATAAATTGTGTCGTCTCTTACTTTTTGAGGTTACGTATCATTCTTCATGACATACATACATACATACATACAAACATTACATATATAGTCGATCTCATTACTAGCGCATCAAGGTCGCCCACTCTCGCGTTGTTGTTATTCCGATCGCTTGTCGTCCCTTGTGTGGACACCAATTGAATGTGATGTTCCGGACGCTATTTGTCCAACTTTTTCTCATAACCTTCCCATTTTCACCAGGTAAACAACCATTTCTCAAGAGAATTTGTAATATGAGAAAGATGTCAAGTCAGCTCCTGACTTAATAAACCTGAATAGTGCAGAAGCCTATCCAGGAAGGATAGAGGAGATGGTACTGAGAGTGGAATTATTAAGCTTTTTCATGGATTCCAAAGAAATCTTAGATATGTCGTACTAACAGTGATCGATTGATTATAGCAAATAACTCTTACTGTACCAAACACATACTATCCTCGACAAAAAACTTATTCGCACTTCATTTTTTATTCTTTTGGAAGACTAAAATTTTAGGCCGCTGCTCAGATGTGGTTGAAACGAAGACACCGGTTCTGTATGAAATCGGAAAGAAACGAAAACTTGAAGACAGCATACCAGTAATTGAAATACGTGGTGAAGGCCAACCGATGACAGCAGCGCAAATAAGACAACTTGAAGAGATGTCGAATGGTGGACCACTTGATATCAAGGTCAAAGTTAATTAATCTTTCAAAAATTAATCAAAATTTTTGAGGCATAAAAAATGCATATTTCCATTTAGTTTAAGATGCCTAAATACGAAATTAACACAGTTTTGTTCACAATTTATATCACTGCTTTTCTCTTGATCTTATTATCTGATTGAAGATTTCTCGTTGAAAAGTTTCCCTTCCACGTACCAATAGATTTATCGGCTATCAAATCAATGCTAAAAAAGCATAGTCTATTTTCGATTCTGGTAACATTTGATCCATTCATCTGAATCTTTTAAATTTGCTTGTCTTAGCATATTTCAGGTAGAGAAGACATGGCGGCCAGTAGACTGTCCACGTGCTGCAAAACGTAAAGATTTTATAACATTTCATTATAAAGCATTTACTGAAGCTAACAAAAAATGTGACCAGTCGTACGGACGTGAACCAATTCGAATACAACTTGGTGTTGGTATGACAATACCTGGATTAGACAAAGGTATGCGAGGGATGTGCGACACTGAATTAAGGAAAATTCATGTTCCATACCGACTAAGTCGAAAAAAGAAAAGCAAAGGTAAGCTTAGTGATGGTATGAGTAAAATGCTTGAAATTGAATTTTACAAAACCTATCACTTTCACTGTCTTGCTCTTTACTTATTAAATTCAGATTTATTCAATTAAGTGTATTAATCCCTTGCCGAGACCACTCATAACGCTTTATAGGCCTCACTCTATCATCTTATAAGGCAAAATAAGCATTCAAATACTATTTTTACTGCATGCAAACAAAGTGATAAATATTGAATGAGACGGTTAGTGGCGGACCCACTTTAATAATGAATGTTTCAGTACTTTAGTTTCCCTAATACTGTCTTCATCACGTGCGCAGTTATTAGCAAATTACCACAATTCCTAACAATAAGCTGTGTCATTCTGCTGTTTTGTTTTGCCAAAAACTTTTGAAGTCTCTTTAGCTGGGAATTATCTTATTAGACGATTGTCATTAACTATGCAAAAGAAGGGAAAGTGAATTGATAGAAGGAGCAAATTATACTGTTAGCCATTGCAGTATTTCAACAAAAAATGAAAATTCTATTTCGATTGGCATTTCAAATCGATTTTCAGTGTGGAAAAATATTCCCAATGATGAGCACTGGCTCTCTTTTAACATTGAAATGCTCACTGTTGAGCCATGGTCACTCGATTTGCAATTCAACTTTTTGGATATCAATAACGATACAGTACTTACTGAAAATGAGGTCCCAACTAAATTGTTTTGTAAACCAATACTGAAAATTGTCATTTCTACTTCATCCATTATCAGCTCATCACTTCACAAAGAATCAATAGTATAATTTTTCAATCAAATAATAATTTGTGCAAATCGCTGACAAAACTATTCATTTCCTTCGTCGAAGTCTATTCAAAACTGCATCTTCGTTGATTAGAAAACTGCTTTATTGTGTAGATGAAATAAATTTTTTTTCGAAATGAATAAAACCAAAGATAATAATTAGTCCTAACAGAAAACTTTCATTTTGGAACTAAAATCTTCAAAAATTATTTCTTTTTCTTAAACATTATTTTAGTTGGTTAAATTTCAAGAAAACCTCAAGAAAAATTTCGGCAAAACATGGAGCAATGAAAATATTGATTATGTGATTGCCGCCAGATATTATATCAGGTAGTTGTTTCAGGCAATAAATTTCACCAGTGAACAATCCGTGATGTTAGCTATTACAATCGAACGCTTTACACTGCATGCAGCTGCATTGAGGAAACACATTTAGCTGAATATCGAACACAGCTGATCACTGAAATTGAATTTGTAAAGTGAAAAATTTTTTATAGATATTTCGATGTTGACAGAAGTGGACGGGTAGATCTGATGGAATTCCGCCAGGTAATGGAGCGAGATATGGCGGTAATGGCTGCAGTAGCGAGTGGTAAAAAGCCAGAAGGTCGGAAGCGGGATCCATCGATTGCTTGGATTGTAGATTTTAATAACGACGGCATCGTTTCTGTCTCGGTAGACCATTTCTAATTATTTCTTGGTTATCTTATCATTATTCTTGTAAATCAATAAATTGAGAGCCGGTTGTACTTTCTTTTTTCATTTTTTCATTGCAGGAAATTGACCGAGCCGACGAAATACTGCAAGGGGAACCAGTCATTCTACCGACATTTGCAAAAGATGAGCTTTAGGATTTTGGTACATCAAGTAATTGACTTACTACCACGGGATGTGAGTTTTGTAAACCAGGTGACGTTACGAGAGTGACATAATTCTTCGGCTATGCTGAAGATCCTAAAATATGCATGCCTTATTATGGTTTGACATTATGCAATACTTACCATTTCTTGACATTATTCAACTGTTTAAATACATTTTGATGAGAAAATTTAAGTTATGAACGAACAAAATTTACACTAAATGATTAAAGAGAATACAAATTTTCACTTCGTAATTCTTGATTTCACTGGTGTCGCCGATTTTCTTTAACCGTGACAAAGATTGGAGGTTCTCTCTGGCTCGGCTTCAATAAGTTAAGTAATGACGACAACAATATGAAAGGGAAACCCAATGATGCCCGACATTGTCTATTCAACCGACTTTGCTGAAACACATTTGTAAAATGATTTTGATGCTTACGACTCTTTACTTCCTTAAGTAGGGAGGATCTTAGTACAGTTCTGAGGTTACAAGAATTAGCGTCTTTGAAGACGCATGTGTAATGAAGGTCTTCGTTAAAGCACATAGACACTATGGATGAGCTATTGCAGCTTACACTGTACAGTATCTCCACACAGTATTACATATTGTACCCAGCGGTACCAAATCAGCAACAAAGGAATTGCTGATTCACTGCTTCTCGCGATTTTAGCGACAACTGGAATTTCATTTGTTTTAAAATTAATTTTGGAAAATCTCCAATTTTTCAATTTAAATGGTTTTTTGTGGTAAAATTTTCCTGGAAATATTAAAAAAACTTTAGAGTTCTTTTATAACTTCATTGCCTTTTTCCTATCTTATTAATACTAGGACTAATGCATAAGTGCCAACCTTTCAACAGTACTTTTATTTATTAAAACTGCAACCAGCGCATTAAAAATTAGTTCAACAACTAAGAATCGTATCAAAACAATGACAACGAAATCATAAAAATCAACAACGGCATCAAATCAGTCAAGTCATCTGTGTGTCAGCAATTGAGCAAGCCAGACTTTTTTCTTGCAATTCCTATAAATGTTCTAAGGTTGCAGAAGATTCATCGATGAAACGCTTCCAGTGGGTTTGTATTTAAACAAAATGTCTTACTGGACTAGTCAGATGTGAAAGAAAAAAAAAAACAAAAACTGTGACACGACGATAATCATATTAAATTTAACAGAATTTCAAGTAGAGCCTTCTCTGGAATGGCAGTATTCGATCTACACCTTGTAGCATAAAAATAAGGCTCAGGAAGCAAGTCCTGAACGCTAAATACCGGTTGTAGTAACAGTAACTAACGCGTAAAATATACAAATGTCTATTTTAAGGCAGTAGTCACCTATGGTAATAATAGTTGGTAATATTAATTTCATCAGAATTAAAAAAAAAATTTCTGCTCAGCAAACTACAGAAATTGTTTCTAATACCTTCTGTTAATAAACAAAAGCTTCAAGAAAGAAGCAATTCTGGAGGGTCTGTGGGGAAATTTGCACATAAATGTACATTATTACCACGTTTTTTTTGCCAACAAATTTAGAAGGCATACTTCATAATCGGTTAGAATTTTGCCATATATGAAAAAAAAAAAATCTTAAGTAAAACATCGTTATTCACTTTAATTTGATTTATTAAAGATTTTTTCTTATACAAAAAATTCTAGTGAATTGAAAAAAGCCATGACCACTTTTCAAATTAAGGAAAACGATCATTTTATTGTGTGATTTTAATTGGTGCTCCAATAATCACCATTACATGTTTTAAAATAATAGCATGCAAAAATTTGTAATATATTATAGAAAATTTCAATTTCTCCTACGACTTGTATAAATTAATGTTTCCAATTTCAACTAAAAAATGCAAAATATTTCCTTTTTGTCTTTTACTATTCATGAAAGTACAGGTACAGTAGGGGGTTAAATAATAGTTCTCACAGTGCACCGTTTACCTTCAGAAACGTATTTCTTTTGACGTTGTTCATTTTCTACAAAGTATTTAAAAGGAATTTCTAATGAAGCCAAAAAATTTATTTGATTGCTCCCAGCTTGCTGACCAGTATATCTGCCACAACAAATAGACTTTTCAAACATTTTCTGCAAATATTTGACGGAGTCTACCGTCCCCACAAAATGACAGAGCATAAAATAAAACAGACCCAACCCGTGAACGATGGAAGTATTGAGTGGATGATGTTATATGGTAAAGTGGATGATGTCATTCGGGACTTTCATATTGGATGATGAGGAGCTGCTTGAGGTGCCACATTCAATGTCCAACGATGCGAGTGGAGCGTGCCTTTCGAATCTTTCAGGAATTGTACAACTATCTCGAGCGAACGTCTTGAAATCGACAGTGTCAGTGGTAGTAGCATTTGCAATGGGATCAATAGCAACAATAACATTACTACTGTTATGTTCATTGTAGACGAGATTGCTGAAATCGGAGGTACTGCAGCATACATGGTGAAGCTCAGACTGATTATGTTGTGGAGGACTGATTGGAGAAATCTGCAACGGTAACGATCTTATGGTGCTCGACAAAAGCATCGGAGGCGGACTATGCAGTTCAACAGTCACATCCTGCCTGCAAATAACTTCAATACTCTATTGCAAACAAATCACTTAAGCTTAAAAAGATCCGTACCATGCACATGGCAACTATTATTGAGAGAAATGACTGTCATCCAAATGGTGAGCCAGATAAGACATTGCATGAGTCTTCTGGAGAACTTATGGTGCCAATAGATCATAGTTAAGTTATGCATTTTGAGATAAATCGTAGAAAATCAAAGCTGCCTTTGTGAAAAGCAAACCAATGGGAAGTACGGCTGCAGTGTTCACTTGTAGAAGCACAAACGCGGCCATGATCGCGCATGTCGAGTACCAAATCATTTTCGGTGTTAAAGATACCACAGTAATAACTATCAAAATATCGCCCACACAATTTCCTATAATTTTTTTCCTTTAAGAAGTCAGTGCACTTTATCCCGTAAGCATAAACAGAAGTACAATCATATCCCTATGCTACTTTGAAATCCCCAAGTTTCTATCAATTTTCCAGCAATTTTAGCTGATCTGAGCAATATCATGAAATCTACAAAAATTATAAAATCGTGTTGGAATTTGAATTTTGAATCAGGATTTAACTGCATTTCTGAATTATTAAAGATAAAATTTCCGATATAGAGTTCCAAATAACTTCGTTGTTTGGGTTAAGTAGTTCAGTGTACTGTGTGGTAGAGTTTCATTTACTGCAAAGCTATCTTATGGTACGCGAAAAAAAATTTCACCTATTATAAATATCATCGAGAAGCATTTGAGGTATACATGGGGTAGAGCGGTATTTCCGCTTCTTAGCCATTACTGCAAATAGCAATATTGGAAAACGATCACGTTGGCAAATAAATGAATGAGTAAATGAATGAACAAACAAATAAATGGAGAAAATAGCAAATAAATGACTGAATATAGAAGAGAGTAATTTATGTGGTAAAGGCAAATATTTAATAAGCATTTCTGTATGTCAAGAGGGATATAATGGACTGTGTTATTAGGTGAAACGTTGTGTTGTGATCGAAGGATCTTAAAATTTAAAAAATTAAAAAATACTTGGACTAGAATCACATCTTGATAGTGGAACAGCTTTGTATAGGGGTGTCCACTCACGTATCTCTTCGTCGGTCATTGGTAAACGTTTTTGCACCACATCCCTTTGTAACAAAGACGTTTTCTTACACGGATCAGCTTCTACATTATGAAGTACCTACAACAACCACCGGAAAAACTAGCTCTATAAGTCTGACTTTTATTACGGATTCCAGCTAAGAAAATAACCTGCGTGTTCTTATCCCTACTTTCGAGAGTAATAACACAGGCAACAATAAGGATGAATGAACCAATGCCCATTACAACTGGTCCGAGATACTGCAAACTTTTAAACAAATATCGCTTGGTCCAGTTGGTGGACATCTTATCGGTGCCATCATCTCCACTGTGTACAATTTCCTGCAATCTTCAGTTCAGTTAATTTGGCAAAATGAGTCATGAAATTGCTCCTTGCAAACACTTTGAAGTAATCAAAACGAATGATTTCGTTGAATTATTAAAATACTCAGAGTTGATAATAAAGCTTGTATAAACCTGCAAACGACATAAATTTGCATCAATACAAGAATGTTCTAAAATCAAGTAAAAAAACACAAACCTGAGATAAATAAACATCAAAGTAACCAAGAATGGTCATCAAGATGCCAAAAGTAATAATAACACCACCGAAAACAATAGCTCTGCATACTGCCCACAAGGTCTGAAGCAGACTGTTTCATGCAAGTTGTAATTTTGCTATATCCATATAATTATAAATAATTTGTCAAACTAGTTTTAAAAAACAAAAACAAAATTAGTTGTCTCGAGGCAAGATTTCAGTTGCATTTCAGAAGTTTTGCCAAACACATTCAGTTTCTCCCTAAACAAGGTGGAACAGAATTTTTTAAGTTTTATTCGATTCCTTTCCAAATTTGATGAAACTTTAAAAGATCGTCCTAACAGTCAACAAATAGTTTTTTATAATGAATGATACAGATGATCTTAGTGATGTCAGGTTATCAATTTTAACGATCACTTAAACTTTCATGGCACCATATGAAGACAATTTAACTCCATATTGGTTCAATTCCTAATGAATTATATAATTATTTATCTTTGTTACGAAAGATAGGCTAGGCTATCTATGACAATATGCAATTTCTTCAAGGTTCTGAAAAAGCGTCATGACGTCATATACTTTTGTAGGTGTTCGTAAGAAGAAAATATCTTAAAAAACAAGTGATATGAAAACCTTAGTTTGGTGAAATAATTTAAATAATTTACTGCACGCCATCGTTTCATTATCTTCAGATGTTGAACAGAACTTTAATGTTCGATTTCTACATTAATGCAAAAGATGTGGCTTCAGAAGAAGAAACATTTCAAATTTTGGAAGATTAAATACAAACGAGAGAATTATCGACAATTCATTAATTTAACGGGAGAAAGTGTTAAAACGATGGATGGGTAATTAATGCAGTGAAACAGATAAATGAATAAAGCTAATGTTTGCAATGTTTCTAAACATAACTGAAAAAGATATTGAAATTGATCAACTCTTCAAAGAAGAAAAGTATCAGAGGGAGAGGAAGGAAGTGAGTTAGAGATGAATGCCCTTTTCGCATAATACACAGAATTATATCGGTATGCATGTATGCTGTTTCTTTCAATATCTCCTAAATTTGGACAAATTAAGCTATCTTCAAGCCTAACTCCTTTTATTAATTTTTAAATATAGGGCTGTCATATACATATAAGCTCAACGTCGAATTTTTTGACTGATGATTACTGATAACTACAACAGTGCAGATCTATGTGACTGACTTCTTGTATTCCGTATTACGGTCCATAGAAGATCGATTGATCAGATGAACTGTTTGTTTAGTGTCTGGCTTATTCGAAAATCTTAGAAAGAAAAAGAAAGATAGAAAAATATATAGTTTCAAAAACATAAGGACTTGATGGTCTATAAATTAGTTAGGACTGAAAATGTAAACATAAAAATGAGCTTTCAAGTTGTATTAAAAACAAAAGAGTTTACTACTTTTATAAATTGCCACTTAAAGATATTGGAATAAAAAAGAGACGATATGGAATACGATTGCGTGCTAGTAAATATGAACAATTCATATAGGTAAAGCTGACTAAAACGAATTACTATTCCGTTGGATGAGAATTCCCAATCTTATCAGAGAACAGAGAAGGTCACACAGATTGGAAAGCCTGATTCAAATGTTATCAGGGTCATGCAATTATCTTGAAAAATTTTTATTCATGGTTCTGTTAAAGAAAACTAGAGACAGCACAGGGTTATTCCAATTTCTTTATCTCCTCATTTCAAATACATATGCGCAATCGTTTTTTAGTATGAGTAACGATAGATTCCTGGTCATATCAAAAATATCCAGAGGACAAAAATTTTACAGTCTGATAAACCTAATCCTAAAAAACCTGGAAAATATAACTAAATCCACGATTTTTTTAAAGCTTTTTAGACTCCGAATTTAATTGCACGCGCCGTCTTGTTTTCATAACTCACTGATGATTAATTACTAACGATTTGTCCAATTCAAAAAGAAAAAGGAAGTTCAGAGAAATAATTTCCAAAGGTAAGTGATTCTACTTTGAATGTAATCAAAGAGATAATGAAACTCTGTCTCTCGAGAAAAGTTATGCGATTTCCCTTATGTTTTTCGATTTCCTTCTCCTTCTAGTAAACTTTATTTTTTGGCCATTTAAAATGCGCTAGAAATTACTTCTTGTTAAATTAAAGTGTACCATAAATTATTTGTTGATCAACCGAAGAGTAAATTCAGTAACCCACCGGATTGCACCCATGGCTTATCGTCTTCACGACTTTTCGTGATAACATAACAAGATAAGAAGATCATATTTTAATCATATTTTCACACACCCTTATCTTTACCAGAATTACCTTAATAGTTTTTTTCAAACAACAAAAAATGTACCGAAAGTTTCGATTCACTAATTTGATGATATCTGTAGTTTCTATGATAAAAATTTCGTCGTATGATAGTGGTGGTTGGACGATGGACCATCAGCCCTGCTACTGCGGCTGTCGCGTTGTTTTTAAAGTGTCCAGAAAATGCCAGAATTTTCTTGCAAAAATTGTTCTTGACAAAATGCTTTTTCGCTATTGCATTTTTTAACGAGAATAGCAGAATAGATTGAATTACCAAGCAAGCGGCAGCACCAATTGGTACTGTCCCGTACAATCACCATTTATTTGTCTATATTACGTGAAAAAATATTTGAAAAACAACTGAGGTTCATCGGAATACCTCGATCTTAATAGGACGTACGGAATAAAATTATTCGAAACATCGGTCGGTTAAAAGATGAAGGAAAAGTGGTTGAGTAGAATGACAGAGAAATCAAAATATCAGTAGAAAAAATGGATATAACTACTTCCGTAGCGATATATCGAAAATATTTCCCTATTAAAATACAAGTTAAACTGGTATAGTTTCGAAAAATTCAATTAATTCAATGAAATTTGAAAGGTCGGAACGGTAGTAATTGCGAGAAAGGATGGAATAATGACAACGAGCCGGAAATCAGAGCATTTCTTACCAAACAGCATAGGCTTTAGGCGTTGGACAGGAAAAACGGAATATGAAGAGAGCGCGGTTGGACGGTTGAAAAAGCAGTAATTACTGGATGGATAAACAGATGTTAACAAGGATTGTTTAAGGAAGTTAGAAAAAAAAGTGGGTAAATGAATTGAAAGCGAATTCGTCGCACTCAAAGCGCTCCTTAAGCTTATAGTGTCTTCCACTTCTCCATATGAATCATATTGAAAGAAAAATATACAAATCATAATGTTTTAAGCAATTTAAGCCTCTTTTCGGGTGTTGATCTCAATCGTTCAAGAAGCAAAAGTATTTGACTAAACTAAGTCTCGTAATCAATCTCCAAATCACTGATGTCTTCACAGTGGACTCATAGATAAAGTGAAGTAGAATTTTTCCACTTTTTGCTTCTAGTATTTCTGTGATTTGACAGTTTGAAATTGCTTACTTCATTTTTAAAAGCCACTTTTCCACTTGTGTCGAACAGTGTTAAATCAAACAGAAGTATAACAATGCTTCTCCTAGTATTAAAGAGAAAATTTCACAAATTAAAACAGCTAATGGTAGCTGTTCCATGGGCCGCACTATTCACACATTATTGAAATAAAATGCAAATAATGGAGGTGAGGGTGTAGAGGGAGAGATGACAGCGCAATAGGAAAAAGTACTTGATGTCAGAAAGATTGAAGGCTTAGGCCTTCTGTCCTCTTTTCAGCAACAAAAAAAAAAAAAATAGTTTCCATCTGTTTGCTGCCTTATTCCATTCTATTGCACTGCTCGCAGTAGCATCATATATGTGAAATAAAAACTGCTAACGGCCAAATTTTTTTGTTCGATAGAATTACTGACATGATGTTCGTCAAGCAGTTCTGAAAGAATATCAACCACTTTATTGTAATCTGATATAGCGGTGTTCATATGATTTTATGCAAAAAAATTGCCAAAGTAGCGGTGAGTTGAATCAGAGTGTTGAACTGATGGGAAATGGTAAAGAAAAGGAAATCGAGAGGATAGGGTGGGTCAGAAAGAAAGAGTTTAAGGTCGCGAAAAATGATCCATTAATCACTGTCTAAGCATCGTCTCGGTAATTAATTTAAAACTACACAGCTGATAATCATAAAAATTTTGAACAATTGACTAGTTTCTCCTAAGTGAAGAATACAGAAATTGTGTAAGACATTATTTTAAAAAATATGAGATTTCAACTATTCCTTCATAAGTTTACTGTCAATAGGAAGTACATAAAAACTGAAGCAAATACGGCAGATTACATGGATAGAATCCGAAGTGAAATTTTAAGTTGAAAGTTTTGAAGGACATGTATAATGCAAGATTTCTTAAAAATTCATTTGAATAAATCCCAAATATCGCTGGTAGCGTGAAGAATCTCTGCCTTTTCAACAAGTAAACGATTCGCGGAAAACGGTAAGAAAACTTTCGTGCTCGGAAAGCGATAATATTCAGAAAGTTCAGTGGATAACATATTTTTTCCGTGCCAATTTTGTCTTTCCGTAGATTACTGTTGGGTCAGTTAACATCTAAAATTTTTCAATTTCTTCCTCAAACCCGGAAAAAAAAAGAACTTTTACATTATCAGTAGTTAAATTTAAGATCTGTGACCAGCCAGACTAGGCCGACTAACGAGATTTACGTTAGAGGCGGAGGCGAAACATATTCGATGGGATGAAATTAAATTTTCGACTGATATATATAAAACAAGAAAAAAATGTATTAGAAGAATGAGATCTTAATAGAATGTGCTGCTTGTAGACTAGAACTGATGAGTAAATAGGGTTACGGAGTATTAGAGTTGCTCAGTACTGCTTAATGAAAGTTTAATGATTTAGACTATAAAAATAAATATGTAACAAATGAATGCTGGGCAGGGAAGCAAGGGCTTAGAATTTCATGTAAATATTTCTTCCCATCCAGTACTTCACTAAAGTTGTATGTCCTGCCCTGTTGATGAATAGAAGATAATGGTGGATAATAGATGTCACATACTTTTAATTAACTAGGGAAGGGAAATGACCCATATAACAGTATCTGATTATAGAGTTGGATAGATTCGTGATCACGAAAGATTTCTTTCTCGAATAGACAGTTTAGATTAAGGGAATTTGGTAGAAAGCAAATGGATGATTTCCTTATGGAAAAAAAGCATTTGCTCGTCCTTTTCTCTCCTTATTTTCTAGAAAAAGTAATGAATTTTCCTGAATGTCTTGGAACTACAGAGAAGCTCGAATGCATAGTAATAATTTCTTGCGCATTATCCGACTGAGATTTTTGGAATCCCTTAACATCGATAAAAATTTATAGCTTAAAATTGAAATAATTTACCAGGAAATAATGATTTAGAATTCGAACAACATTCAACCAAGGGATATCTTCACCGGATTCTGACATGAAGAGAATGCGTGGCTCGAATCAATCAAGAACACAGAGACAATCAAAGCAGAATCATACAACAATGGATGCTATTCAGTCTACCGGACCGGAATGACCAACTTTTACTAGAAATTTTGGAGACTAAAACAATGCAAGAGATGGCCTACATCTGGAACATCACTGTTGCATATGAGGCTTAGTTTTCATAGTGACTGAGGCATGGTAGTCCAATGTGTTCGAAACGCTGCGAAGTGAAGGGTATATGTGTGTGTATGTATATGGTCATGGATGGTATAATTGGCTTTGGGTGGGTTGGGAATATATCCCATGCCGGAGTGTAACTCAACCGGACCTGAAGGGCAAGTAGGATGCATTGAGTTTCATTTCACCATAAATTCTTGGTTATATGAGTACCCGTTGTTGATCACGAAAGGAACTGATAATTGGCCTGAACATGGATGATCATTTTCAAGGTTCTTGTTGGAAATATTGTGAAATATAATTGCATCGTTTCAGTACAGTTGTATCGATAATATATTATATTATCGAAATGGATAGAAATTAAGTGCAAATTAGAAGGAAGTATTTGAGCAACTTTACCTCAATATGAACATAATTCTTGGTCGTAATTTTATGCCGACCTTTTTCTCGCTTTCGTCTAGCTTTCAGATAACCATCCCGGCTGTGTAAACCGGAGTCCAAGGCTGCCAGGTTTATTTTCCCCAAACGTAATGAAACACCACGAGCTGTTCCCAGCATTTGTAGTCGTAGAGCAGAATCGTAAGATTTAACTTCAGGTACAGCAGATTCCAGATATTTCTTCTGATGGACTGTCTCTGCAGAGCTTTTCCAACAGCTGGGATTCAGAGTAGAAAAATTCGCAGCCAAATATAGAAAGGTTATCCCATCTATAGTGGCCGTTTCTTAGTGAGCTGATCGGCTTCTCCATGTGATTATGCAATCAATAATAGATTCAATAATATAGCATCGAACAATAATTCAGTTATGCACCATGTCACTGATCCTGAAAACATTTTATAAGCAGGGTGCTTGATAGAAAGGTGCTGCGTAACTGCATAACGGACAATACCTCAGTGCTCAAAACGTATTGCATATTTGCACGAGAGAGTAAAAATTGGAAAGAATGTAATTTTATGATGTGGTTCTCTTCAATATTAGCAGTTCTCTCAATAGGATAAACCGGTTGTAATCACTTGATAAATCCTAAAGCAAGATTAAGACGGGACTGTCTGGACCGAACTAATCTAATTTATGATGAAAATTGATAATTTTCGATCCACACTAGCACGAATCGTAAGACACGAGTTTTCAAACGACAAAACTTCATGAGATCCTTTTCGCTTACTTCTCACAATAATACATGGTCTTCATGCAACACTGTTCTGCAATATCGGGATTGAGAATCGGATTGTCTAAGCCATTTTGAAGCACTAACAAGATTCAAGATGCAGAAAAAAAAAGCATTGTATCGTAATAAAAGCTATGTATATGGACCAGAAGAATGATGATGTGTTCTGCTAAAATATAGCTATTCAGCGATACGCCTGCCCGATTACGAGTTTCTCTTCGCGCGTTTTTGGATTGCCTAAAATCGTCCTACGGATTTCGATTTTTTTTCTTATTCAAATTAAGAGTAAACGAATAAAATAAGCTGGGAAGGACAAAGAAAGGTCATGAGGGTTGGGGCATAATGATATCTTTAAAAAAACCAAGTGGAAGGTCTTTTTAATAAATAGATTAACTATTTGAGGATCTCCTTGGTAACAGAGTTAACTCCGGCTTATTGATAGACGTTGTTAATCAATGAATAATTGCACTGTTTAATCATGAAGTTATGAATAAATCAAGTTAACAGATTTTTCGTTTTAAGGAAACTTTTAAATTAAAACTAGAGTACAGAAAGACTTTAAGAACATTTTTCACACATAAAAAACTTGAAGTCATTAGAGCATATTTTTATTCATACATCAAAGGGTCTGTCAAAATGGAAACTTATTTCTACTAACAAATACCTACATTTTATATCGGAGCATCTAGTGGGATTCACCAAATGGTTGCTTTTGTTAGTCTCAGAATTTTTTTTTTTTATGCTAAAAATTTCGAGATTTTTCCATTAAGGAATGAGTTCAATAAGTAAAAAATTAACGGTTCAGTTATTTTGACTAAACTGACCAACCCTACCAGTTTCGGTGCCACGAAAACTTTCTTTCTGAATCCTTGCGGGCAAAGGTGTTAGACTAACCTGTTTGTTCTGGGATCTCCTATCTCACAAACATTTTAATATTTATTCCATTAAAAGTTTTTTTTATTATCAGTGAAGTGGGAATATTTGAGACACAGTATTCATCTTTGAACTAATTAATGCCTTCTTTTGTTGAAATGTTAAATTTTTTCTCACTCTGTTGTGATTGTTCAAGCAAGAAGACGATAAAATTAACAAACTGAAAGCGTTTCCCATTACCAAAACATAAAATTTGTATATCTCAGTGACGCAAATCGAAGTTTCAGTTGTTCGACACATCGCCTCTTATTAGTTCATACATCTTTTTATGATTGATATAAGTATGAGAATCTTGCAAATCCCCCCCCCCCAAAAAAAAAAACTAAAAAAAAAAAAAACCCTAAAATTGCTAATAATATTGTACTGTCAACGAATTGGGAATGATTTAAAGGAAGAGTGGTCACTGAAGTAGCCACTATTAATGAAACTAATAAAAGTTACAGACGGCTCTGTCAAGAAGACCGCTCGAGATTTAAATGTAGCATGTGAAAGCAAATTAAAAAATGGTGTCCTAGCCCTTCTGAAAAATAAAGCAAAATTTTCCGCTCTTTCATTTGATTATTCAGCAAGCTGTTCCGAAATGAACTGCCATCCTTAGGTTCTATAATCAAAACTATCCTTG